TTCTCCCTCTCTCTTCTCTCCTCTTCTCTCTCTCCTTTCTTCCTCTTCTCTGTTTTCTCTCCCTCCTCTCTTCCTTTCCTCTCTTCCTCTCTCCCTCTCTCTTCTCTCTCACCTCCCTCTCTCTTGTTTGCTCATTTATTCTTGCTTGCTCTCTCTCTTTCTATATTTAGGTATGCATATATATCTATATACATAATATATGTGTATATATCTACGTGTATAATGTACAAAATGAGTACAAGATATCTTTGAGAGGATCAATTAGAGGAACTGGGGATATTTAGCCTAGAAAAAGAGAAAATATGGGAGCAGTGAGGATCATAGTATCATAGATTTAGAATTGGAGAGGATTTTAGTGGCATCAAGGCCAACTTTTTTATTTTACAGAAGAGGAAACTGAGGCACATAGAGGAAAGTGGACTTTGGTGTCACACATTAAGTGACTGAGGCAGGATTTGAACCCGTGTTCCTGGCTACAGTTGCTATCTTCAATCTTTGAAAGGTTGTCATGTCCAAAAGAAGAATAAACTCATTCTATTGGCCCCAAAAGCCAGGACTAGTAGCAATCGATGTAAGTTGTAGGGAGCAAGATTGAGGCTCAGTATTGGAAACTTTCTTTACATTCAGAGTTGTCCACAAGTGGGGTGGGCTGTTCCAGGAGGTAGGGAGCTCCCATTTTAGGGGTCAGCTGGAGGCTAAGTGGCACCTTTTCAGGGATGTTGTAGCACAACACACTCTTCAGATATCCAGTGGGCTCAATGGCACTTCTAATCCCCACCCCTAGCTCTGAGATTCAGAGGTTCTATGTCTATCCATAAATGGATTAACCAACAGTAAATCCGGGGTCGCCTTCTTTTAGTTGAAAGCTAGCCTGAGTTCAATGAGCAACAGATTCACAAAACATTTGTTAAAGCCTCCTATACACAAGATACCGTACACAAGACAAAGCCAGAGAGGGCCAGGTGTCTCAGCACGTACATAGTTCTGCCTGTTTTTGTCCTTAAGTCAAATGTAAATGATGTGGTGCTACTGATGGTGGTACATTATTCATATTTCTTTCCCTTCTGTCTATGTATCCAATCAAAAGCGCCTGTATGCTGTATATCTTCATTAAAATGCCAGTGGCTGCTCTAAGTAGAAATTTGTTACCTCGAGGGACTGATCTTCCACATTGCCCTGGGAATCTTCCATTTTAATTGTATGGGCTTTCTTCTAAGCTTTTTTGGAAGTTAACCCAAAGCGTGTTTGGTCTAGCTAGAGATGTTGTGAAATTCTTGTTATTTCTTGTCATTGGTTGGAAATACTTTTAAAATAGGCTTCCATGTCTCCCTGATCTTTGGGATGAATTTCAGAGATTTCCTTAATGAATAGTGTTTATCTGATGACTTCACACAGCACCCCCTCAAGCTCCCCCTTTCACTGAGCCATGTCCCAATTTATTTACTTATTTTTTCTCCTCTGAAAAAGTAATCCAATTTACTTTCTCTATTTGCAGGATGGATTCACACCCCTGGCGGTAGCTTTGCAGCAAGGCCATGACCAAGTGGTTTCGCTACTGCTTGAAAATGACACAAAAGGAAAAGTCCGACTTCCCGCACTTCACATAGCTGCTCGCAAGGATGACACAAAAGCCGCTGCCCTGCTGCTGCAGAATGACAGCAATGCAGACGTGGAATCCAAGGTGAGCCCTTGGCAAGGGCTGGCGGGGCATTCAGGCGCCATCTTGGAGGGGTGGGGCTTACAAGCAGATGAGGTCTGCCTTTGTCCAGCTCATGCTTTATGTTCAGGTGTATGGACAGCAACACAACAAAGTGGACCCAAGCTAGGGAGGCACTGAGGTGGCTGCATTGAGCTTGCCTTGACAAAAATGGGGGCCAGGTGCTCCTAGCATTTTTTGTTTTGTTTTCGTTTTTTTGTTTTTTGCAAAGTACTTGTGTTCCTTGGCAGATTTCACATTTTCAACTACAAGATGGTATTTGATTTGGCAAGGGTCAGGCAGAGACGATCACTACCAAATACTAACGGGCGCGTCCAAAGTCAAACTTGATTACTATCACGAAGGTTGGATGCAGTACAGTGAGTTTTGATCTGCTAAGAGGAGGCTGTTGACTGTTTGATGTCATCTGGCCAAGTGACTGGCGCTGTCTTTGTGTCAGAGTCTCTTTAAAAAAAAAAAAAAGCCCAACAACAGCACATGTGGCCTCTGAGATAGAATATCATTTAGATCTCGTTTCATGTAGCTTTCTTTCCATGCCTCGTGCTATCATCATAGCCTCCGTATCACATAGCCACCACAAAGCTTTCTGCATCCATGTCATCAGGAGTGAACTAACCGTTCATTTTTCCCCCTCTTTGCTTCCAAATATGTTAACCTAGATGGTGGTGAATAGGACAACCGAGGTATATGTACCCATATCTCTCTATATCTGCATCATCGTTTCATATCTTAGTGCTGCCGCATCATTCTCCCTCCCCCTCTTCTTTGCATCGCCTTCAGTAGGATAGAGACCTGCTTTCTTACCAACAAATAGCATGTGCTAGATAAGGCAGTACTTGGAGCACCAGGGCTTTCTGCAGCTGAATCTGGCCTTTCGAAGTAAATTCATGGATTCTGTGAACCTTAGCGCCGTTGGCTGAGAGTACCAAGAGACCAAAAAAAACTTGTAGCTGTTCATCTGTGATGTGGAAAGCTGCAGACAGCCCTGAAACTGTGCATCCAGAATTGATGTTTTTTTTTTTGTTTTTAGGCTTCTGCATGACACTTAGCCCTGATGGTGTCAGCAAAAAGAATCTAGTCTCAGAATGGAACCGACGCCGCCATACTCTCCAAGGGAGGCAGCGACAGCTAGCATGGCAAAGAAGCTTGCTAAAGATTTAGAAATGCATCTAGTTTTTCTAAGGTTCCATACTTTGGGGACGGAGTGAATGGCTGCATGTTTTAGCATATTTCTTTAAGGCAGTAAAATGACCTCAGTGTGAAAATGAGCTGTGGAACTCGTGTTATTGACTAAGGCACTTGACAAGGAGGTCGCTATCACAACCCCAAAGGATTGCCCACAATGGGAGGTAGATCTTTGCAATACTAGCACTTTAAAAACAAAAAACACCACCACCCATTAATCAAAGGGTATTTGATGTTATTTTAATTTGCATCTGCTTTGAATATATCAAATCAACTGAACTTTGGCAAAGATTTTCAGTGAAGGATTCAAGTGTCGGTGATGGAGTAAGGGTATTTTGCTGTCCACAAAAACAAGGAGATCTCACTCATTACTAGTAATTCTTCCCGTTTGAAGAAGGGTTGGCCATTGTGCCCATGGTTCTGCTGCTGGTTTGCTCAAACCTGTATCCCTGGTTCTTCACTGCCTGGTAATATGGGTGATTTGGGCTTCCTGGGGAGCCTGTCAGCAATTGACACTAATTGACAACTAGGACAGAATGAAATCTTAACTTTCAGCATATTTCGCTTCCTCTTTTTTTTTTCTTTTCTAAGTTTGCTGCGGGTTATGGGACAAAAACTTCTCAGGTGGGGAGACCTCAGAAATCCATTGAACCTCTCTGCTTTGCTTCCTTTCCAGAGTGGCTTCACCCCGCTTCACATTGCTGCCCATTATGGAAATATCAACGTAGCCACGTTACTGTTAAATCGAGGTGCTGCTGTGGACTTCACTGCAAGGGTAAGGATTTGGTGCAAAGTGTGCGCGACGTCTTGGGAAACTCCTAGAACGATCCCTTCTCTATAAAACATGCGTCTTTTTGTTAGTATGACAGCGTTAGAGTGTGCCCTTCTCATTAAGATGGGAGCTCTTGGAGAGTGGGGATTGGATTTTTGTTAGTTGGTTTTGGGGTTTTTTTCCCTTTCTTCGTATCCCTAGAACTTAGCACTATGGGCGCTGAATAAATGCTAGTTGAATGACTCCAGTGGACGTCCAGCCTTTCTGAACCTGAATTTCGTCCCGTCGGTATAATGGGGGTGTTACAGAGGGGCAACATTCTCTGCTGGAAAAAGCCCTTGGTAGGGAGTCACAGTAACTGGTTTCAAATCCTGTAGCTGGTAGCTTACCAGCTGTACGGCTCCGGGCAGGCGACTCTTCTCTGTTTCTAAATTTCCTCATCTATGAAACTGAGGATTGGTTTAAGTTGTTTCGAAGACCCTTTCCAACTCTAGATTATATACCTAGAAAGCCTCCCAAGATCCCTTCTGTTCTCTAATCTCATCCCACAATCCTATCTAGGCCTGGGACGTTGTCTTTATTGTCTGATATAAACATCCCTGGATCAAAATAGAACTCGGCACGCTCTAACCTTCCTGTGGAATTCTGGTGGTTCTGCTAACGCTGGCTGGTGATTTAAAAACTGTTCTCCAAAAAAATCCCCAAGGAAGCCAGGGCCTTCCTAAGTGACGCTTTTGGGGATCAGTGTCATAGGATGTAAAAGTTAGAAGGTACCATCCAGTATGAACCATGTGCAAAAAGACATCCCTACCATGAAAATAGCAACAAGGAGTCATTGGGCTTTGGATTGAAGACTTTCCTGAGGGGAAGCCCATTCCCACCCAAGGCAGTCCATTCCATAGATGGCTCACTTTTCTTCCTGGACACTCAATGTTCAGCAAAGTTCCTGGTGCTTGGTCAATGCTCACAAATACTTTTTCATTCATTCCTATCTCTAATTGTTAAAAGATTCCTCCATATGTCAAACCTTAATCTGCCTCTTTCCAGCTTCCTGAATTTGACCTGTGGAGCCAGGCAGAATAAACCTGGATCCCTCTTACCTATGACAGCCCTCCCAGTCCTGAAGCCAAAGGCCATGTCCCTGTTCCATCCCTGAGTCTTTTCTTACCCAGTTCCTTCAAGAAGTCTTTATTTAGCAAGGATTTGAGGATTTTTGCCATGTTACTTGTCTTCTTCCAGGTTCTCTCTGGCTTTTCAGCCTCTTCCCTAAAATGTGCCATGCAGATCTGAAAACAGTATTCTATATGTGACGTGACCAGGGCAAGATACAATGGCAATCTCTGAGTCTCGTCCCCGGGAGCTTTGCCACCTTAATGAGGAGGAGATTGCATTAACATTCTTGGCTGCCACATTACACTGTTGACGTGTATTGAGCTGGTAGGCCACAGTGTATTGACCTTGCAGATTTGGTTATGAATAAGTTTTACAATGAATGTCGTGAGTATAGAAACCAAAAATGAATGTTTTTACCTCCATTGCCTAAAAGATTTTGTAAGAAGCAAATCAAAAGCCTTAACATGAGCAACTTCATATTCTTGGAAAGAGGAATCCCAGGGCCAAGTGGCAATCTAGCCAATTATTTTGAATTTCCAACCCAGTAGCAGCTCAGCTAAAAAAGATGATTTGTTCCAAAAGCTCCTTTGTCGGATACTTCATTACCAGGGGTAGAAATGATGTGGGAGGTCCAGGGATATTATAGGGTGCACATTTCCTCCCCACCACAATTTTGGTGGGGCACTTCCTTTTTTCTTTCCTGTCCAGCTCAGGAAAGGATAAAAGGAAGCATGGGGTAGGAAATATTAATAATGTACTGGACTTGGAGTCAGCAAACCCTGGCTTCACCTCTGACATTTCCTAGCTGGATGACTGTGGGAAAGTCATTCAACATCTCTGAGCCTCTGTTTCCTCATCTGTGAAATGAAATTAGTCAGACCAGGAAGTTTCTAAGGATTCTTTCAGCTGTAAATCTGGGATGCTCAGATTCTGTAATCCAGCTGCCAGTCGTAAAAGAAAAGAAGTTGGAGATTTTTTATAATCTATTCAATGAGTCAACAGTATTCTATGTCAGTCAAAAAACCTTAATAGGAATGTAGGCTGCATTAAGAGAGGTCCAGTTTCCAGGACTGAGGAGCAGAGCATTTACTGCTTGTATTTTGCCCTGTTCAGACCACAGGTGGAATATTATATTAGGTGCTAAGTGCTATGTTTCCAGGACAATGATAAGCCAGAGAATGGAGGACAATCAGGCCAGAACAGGGCCTGGAGGCCACTGAGTTAATTGAAGGAACTAGGGAGGGTTGACCTGGAGAAGAGAAGATGTAGAGGGGGTATGAAAGTGTTCTTCAGGTATTCACAGAGTTGTTTGTTTGCTTCAGTTTCCTCACCTGTAAAATGATAAAAGCACCTACTGTGCAAAGTTATTGTGAGGGTCAAGTGAGATGCTATTTGTAAAGCACTTGGCATAATCCCTGGCACATAGTAGGCACTGTAAAAATGTTAGCTATTATTAGCTGTTAAGAGGCATTAGACACGATGTCCTTGGCCCTAGAAACCAGAACTGAGAGCAATCGGTGAACGTTGCAGAAATCATGGGTACGTGCACGTCTTTCTCCTGCAAAGGACTCTTTCCCAGACTCTTCAGACATCTGTTTTCCTCCCCTCTTCTAAGTTATGGATGGCTACTGAAGTTAATGACTACTGGGAAGGTTTTGATTGAATTCAACAAGCATGTATTAAATACCTACTGCTATGTGCTGGGTGCTGTGCTAGGTCTTGGAGATACACACAGAATGCGAGCCCCTGTTCTCTGATCTCACTGCCAGCATCCTCCCCAAGCTTGATTTCTGAGAGCAGCAAATACCCTCACAGTCATGCGTGGGGAGGAGGAGGCCAGGAGGATGTCTGGCTTGGTGTCGAAATTTTGCCATAGAATTAGAAGGCAACATGGTACCATGGAGTGAGCAGAGAGGTTAGTCCCAGGACCTCAGATCTTCTGCTTTTGATGTTTGCTGTCTCTATGACCTTGACCAAGTCTTCCCTTCCTTCCCTGAGCCTCAGTTTCCTCATCTGCAAAATGAGGGGGTTGAACTACTTGGTTTCTGAGATCTCTCTTAGCTTCTCTAATACCCTGAATAAGTGCCTCTAAATGAAAGTGCATCACTTAGTTTGATACTTCTGATGAGCAAGGCTAATCTTTCTTATATTCCTTCAAAAGAGAAGTCTTGATAATAAAGCACATGTTTATTTCTTAATTTCTTCTCCTCTTTTGGACATAATTTGAAGGATTAGGAAGGGATTGTGATAGAGATTAAATTTATAATCTCATCGGTACAAGGAACTCCCTGGAGAGGAAACTCCCTCCACAAGTACAGGTTGATACCTCCTCAGCAGCTTAGAGCCTGGGAGAGTAAGTTACCTAGATCACACAGAAGTAAATGACTTCAACTCAAACTTTTCAGCAATAAAGAGCAACCTGATTTAGTGTGAAGGAGTGAGATTTGGACAGCACAAATATCCCTACTTAGCAGGCTGGTTGGAGACCCTAACTGAATTAGTCACACCCTCATGGGAAGCCTTCACAATAGGTGACCCCTCTAAGTCACACAGAAGTAAATGACTTGCTCAGGGTCACATAGTCAGGACGTGTTGGAAGGGGGATTTAAACGCAGGTTTTTCAGGCTTCAAGTCCTGCTCTGTGGCCACTCTGCCACACTGCCTCCTCTATAGTCAAGCCTTGCTAACTCCCAGCTTCTCTGGTCATCTGTGGTCATTGTTCACCTCTGCACAATATAAAAAGGACCTGAGGACATAACTGAAAGTGTCAAGATTTCGATGGTAGTTAAAATCTTTAAGAAGACAGTTTATTGTCAGACCCTTTCATCCAGATCGATTTAGATCGGTCGGTCACCATTTGTAAGGACCTACTATGTACCAGGAGCTGGGGCAGAGACATAAATGAAACTGTCCTTGCCTTCCAGGAGTTCTGTTCAGTTGTGAGAAATAGTTCCACTTGTAAAGTAAATGCATAACAGACACTCTTTATTTGTCACATTTTGCCTTCATAGATTTAGAGCTCCCAGGGACCTTGGAGGCCATTGAATTCAACCCCTCATCCCACCTTCCCATTTTGCAGATGGGGAAACTGAGGCACAGACAGGTTAAGCGATTTGCCCAGTGTCACACAGCTAATAAGTGTCAGAGGTGGGATTTGAATCCAGGTCCTTCTGTCCCCAAATCCAGTACCTTATCCGTCGCACCAGTGGAATCAAACTCAAATGGACACAAGGTCACTAAGTCATTCATAAGGAAGGGGGTGGGGTACCGATTGACTTAGAAAACCACATGTTAACATCCTCTATGTTCTATTGCATTTTTTTATTTTGTTAAATATTTTCTAATGGCATTTTGATCTGATTCAGCCACACTTAGAGTGCTGCTGCTATAATTGGGTCTGTGCTATACTATAATGCATAAAAACAATGAAACTGCCTTTCTTTAGAAAGATTTCTTTAGTTTTGTTGTTAGTCATTTTCAGTCATGTTTGACTCTTCCTGATCCGTTTTCTTGGTGTTTGCTTGGCAAAATACTGGAGAGGTTTGCCATTTCCTTCTCCAGCTCATTCTATAGATGAGGAAACTGAGGCAAACAGGGTTAAGTGACTTGCCCAGGGTCACACAGCTAGTAAGTGTCTGAGGTGGGATTTGAATTCAGGGATTCGTGACTCCAGGCCCAGCACTCTATCCACTGCACCACCTAGCTGCCCAGTTCTTCCACTCAAACTTTTCAGCAATAAAGAGCAACCTGATTTAGTGTGAAGGAGTGAGATTTGGACAGCACAAACATCCCTACTTAGCAGGCTGGTTGCAGACCCTGACTGAATTTGTCACACCCTCATGGGAAGCCTTCAAAATAGGTGACCCCTCTAAGCTCCTCACTTCAGTTTT